GGCCGCCATGTTGGCTGGTGTGTGGGTGTCAAACGCCGCACGGGCTCGGGTCTCTCCCGCCTCTCCAGCGCTACCGGCGGCTGCAACCGCGCATTGGCGCGGGCTGGGAAGAACTGAGGTAAGCCTGGACCTGCGGGGCTCGGGGGCCGGACCAGGGGCCCCAGGGCACGGGCGTTCCCAGATCCCAGGTTCGCTCCACCCCAGCAAGCCCCCAGAGCATGCACCCCGGTTGCCTCAGCTGGACCCCCACTCCGAGCTGGACTCTCCTCCCCCCCCCCGCACCCGGACCCGCCCCACAGGCTGGAGCGTGGCTCCCTCCCCACCGGGATCTCTCTGTCCGCCGCAGGGATTTCCCCCTATTTCCCTATTAGGGGGCTCCCCGTGCTCCTGAGCTCCGATCCCGGAGCCCCCCTGATGTTCGGAACAACCCCGCCCCCCTCCCCAGAGCGGATTCCGCCCCTCCAGGCCCGGCGCCCCTCGCTCCCCAGCCGGGTCTCCCGCCGCCCCCGTGCAGAGCACAGCCCGGCTTCCCTCCAGGAATTGGGGGAGGGTGTCCCCTTCTCTCCTCTGGGCTGGCGCGGGGAGTGCCCCTCTTCCCGCCCCAGGGACGAGGTTCTCCCCCTCCCCGGCTCCCACCCCCAGAGCGCAGAGGGGACGGGGGCGGCAGAGCCGGGTTCCAGCTGCCTTTTGTTCCGCGTGGGATGGCAGAGACCCGGCCCGGCCCGGCCCGGCGGTCCTGCTCGGTTAATCGGGGTGGGTGAATGGGCGCACGGGTCCAGCCTCTTCCAGGAGACCCTTCCCCTCTTCCGGTCGGAGCGGGAGCTGAGAGCGCTGGGAGAGGCAGGCCCCTTGTTAGAGGAGTCCGGGCCAACAGGTTTTTGTTCGAGACCTGAAGTTGGCCCAGTGGTTTGTGCAGAGGTGCCGCCTGAACTCCCTAGAACCTCCCTCTCTTCCCCCAGAGGGTCCTATGAAAGCCCATTCCTCAGTCCAGAGGCTCAGTCCTTTTGGGGGTTCCCTTCACTATAGTGATGTCTCAGGGATGCATTTGAAATCTGTGCCTTAAATGGGAGAAGCATTGAGCCATTGTTGGGGTTCTTCTGATGGGGGAAACTGAGGCCCAGAGATGCAGTGATTTGCCCAAGGTCACCCAGCGATCCTGTGTCAAGTGTCAGAGGTGGGGCACTGGCACTCTGTGACACCTAAAAAGTCTTCTAAAAGGAGATGATGGTCAGGATTCCCTCCATTCCCTTGCCTTTTATTTTTAACATTCACACAAGAAAATGAGTAGGGAAAGATGAGAAGTATGAAGTCTTCCACTTGTAGAAAATACCCTGTGAAAAAAAGGGATTGGTATAGGGGTTGAAATGATTGAAAAGGTGAACTTTAATGATCTGCACTCTTTCTCATTACGTAATATGTAATGAAGATTTAGCAGGGAAATGTGCATCTTGTAGCCCTAGCTATGGGGTGATAGGTGGTGACAAAATCATACAAGGAGTCCCACGCAGTGGGATTGAGAGTCTGCATGGTAATTAAGTTTTCACCTGTATTTAATTGAACATGGAAAAGGCCTGCAATTTGCTTCTGAATAATACTTACTCAGGTGCTTATGTTGGGAGGAATGATTATGCTGGGGAAACACACCTAAATCTCATCATTTATTTATCTGCTTTTACTTTCACATGGTTAAAACTTTGTTTTTCTAGTTTTAAAATTGGTCTAGTTTACCAGCCTCACTGGGCTGCTCATTTGTAAGTATATTAGTTATTGAAGAGTTTGGTAGCATGTAAATCACCGGAAGTCATGTTCAGGACTGCCTTGCAGCCCACAAGCTCTTGGACCAGGAGCAAGTTTAGATGGTCCTGGTTTCCAGGGATGGGGAGCAGCTCTGTGGAGCACTGTTTCCTTGCAAGGTCTGTGTGGGCCAAGCATTTGATGTGTGAAGAAATGTGAAACTTTCAAGGGATAATACCTGGCATGGGATATATGGTCTTGAAAAATGACCCCTCCTTTGTAGAAACCCTCTGTGGAAATACTGTTGCCGCTTATGTAACCTTCTTTCATAATGGGGCATGGATTTCCCAAGAACAGAGATTTTGATAAGAGTCCTGCAAAGTAGTTGAAAAGTTTTTGGAACTCTGATTTAATTGTTGCTTTCCTGAGCTAAATGTTTATTTAAAAAATTTTTAAGATGGGGTGGGGTTATTGGTTTTTTTTTTTTTTAATTTCATTTGGAGTGGCAACTTTTTTCTTTGGTGTGGGTCATAGGGCTTGAACTCAGGGCCTGGGTATTTGTCACTGAGGTTTTTTTTTTTGAGTGCTAGCTCAAAGGTAGCACCCTACAAGCTCTACTGTAGCTTCTTTCCATAATTCATTGGTGATAAGAATCTCATGGATGGGCTGGGAATGTGGCTCAGTGGTAGAGTGCTTGCCTAGCATGCATGAAGCCCTGGGTTCAATTCCTCAGTACCAAACAAACAGAAAAAGCTGGAAGTGGCACTGTGGCTCAAGTGGTAGAGTGCTACCTTGAGCAAAAGAAGCTCAGGGACAGTGCCTAAGCCCTAGTTCAAACTCCAAGACTGGCAAAAAAAAAAAAAAAAAAGAATCTTATGGACTTTTCTGCCTGGACTGGCTTTGTTTGAATTATGGTCCTCAGATCTCAGCCTCTGAGTAGCTACGATTACAAGCTTGAGCCACTGAACCCAGCTGTTCTCAGTTCTTCGTGGACTAAAGTGCTAAGAGAATGGGTTCCAGGAAAATGCATGGAATTGTCATTGCCATGCTTCTGGGACTTTTTAAGTGTTCTGGCCAGTATTCTGTGTCCTCTAGAGCCTTATGTTGATGAAGTGCGAGTGACTGTTTTATGGCATGAGGAGCTGGTGACCCTGAGCTTTGGGAAGTCATGGAGGTTGGATTTTGAGGGGATTTAGGTTGGAAACGAGGTGAGGAACTCTGCTTATTGATAGGATTTTTTTAAAAATAGGATCAGGTTTGCTGTGTAGTCTTATCTAGTTGGCTTGGAACTTGGGATCCTCCTTGTTTAGCTTCTGAATGGTGGGATTACAGGTAGCACCATTGCTCCAATTCTTGTCAACTCTGAACTCATGTGTTTTTTGCTTAAACAAATTTCTTTCTTTCTTTTTTTTTTTTTGACTGTCATGGGGCCTGAACTCTGGGCCTGGGTGCTGTCCCTCAGCTCTTCAGCTCAAGGGTAGTGCTCTACCATTTGAGCCACAGTCAGTGCCACTTCCAGCTTTTTCTGCTTATGTGGTGCTAAGAATCGAACCCAGGGCCTCATGCATGCAAGGCAAGCGCTCTACCACTGAGCCACCTTCCCAGCCCCTTACACAAATTTCTTCTGTCAAGCTTTTGCCAGCCACCCCTGTTGGTGTTTGTTTCTCACTTCCTTTGCTGTCCTTCCTTCTCCAAACTATCCTGTCTTTTGGCGCTGCCTGCACATTGTGTGTCTGGGGCTTTTGTGATGCTGTGACATTTTCAAGGCCTTGGTTGTCCTGTATTTTTTTTTTTAACTTCTCTAGCACCCAGCTTGGTCTGAATTGAGTAGTTCTAGGGGAGGGGATTGCTTTTATTGATGTTTCTCCAGACTCTACTGTTCAGTCTTGCTGTAGCATAAATCAGTAGTGTTGGTCCGGCAGCCATGGGTTAGTAACACAGCTATTGCCCTGCTTTGGCAGATGAGGCAGCTAAGACTCAAGGGATCTAACTGCCCAGGATTACATTGCCTGATGGAAATGAAGGTTGGGACATGCACAGATATGTGGGACTTCAGAGTATTATTAATACCTGTGCCATGATGGAAGAAATAACGTTTCACAGGGATGAAGTGACATCTTGCAAGTTAACAATGGACTGGCAATGTGGGATGTTATAAAATTTAAATGTTGAGGATGCAGAGAGCACATTTTGTTTTTGTCAGATGCATTGTGAAATGACTGTTTATGTCCATCTGTTGAGTTTTTGAAAATCGACAAGCTTTCAGATAAGTCAGTGAGTAGAATTTTGTTAATTAGCTTATTCATACTGTCTAAAAATAGAACACAGCACAGAAGTAGGTGCAGCTAAGTGTGTTTATTCCATCACTGCACTCATGGACCTGTTTGGCCTTACATGTTTCTAGTCAGGAGGTTAAATTTATTTAAAAAATTTTTAAATTAAAATTTTATTGTTAAATTTTTCTTCTGAAGATTTCAAGACTCAGCCATTAAAAAAAACCCAAAAAACAAAATAAAAAGTGCATTGTAATTTCACATCAATGTATACCATTGGAATTACCACCCATCTCTGAGGGAAAGACTGAGATCCAGAGGGATTAAATCTGCCAGGACCTGCACTGCCAGGAGTCAAATTGAGGTCTATTTCCCAGATCTGGGTCCCGTTTTACTTCATCTGCCACTGTAGCAAGTGCCACTGAACAATGGGTATTCGCTTGCATTATGGGGTAAATCTGGGATCTGAAGACCACCCTCAGCTTTACTTGGGAGGTAAGAATTGTACATGAGGAAGTTTCTGGTTTTCTCCTAACTGTAGATCTATGAAAGCATGATGGTTTGAATGTCAGTGATTTAATGGGCCACTTTTATCTGATAGACGCTAGATTTAAGGTTTGATTAAAGGAAAAAAAATCCTGCCTCCTTTGAACCAGATCTGCAACATTGTACAATGCTCCCTAAAAGTGAGTTGGATTCTTTGTGGTGACTCATTCCCGGACTCCCAGGGCTCCCAGGTACCAGAGCAGCTTTGTTTCTGGGCACAGAAAGGCCCTTTTTCTCGTTCCAGTTCCTGTCTGTCCTGCCCTAGGTGGAGTGAACTACACTTTTAAGCCTTTTCTAGAGACAGAGCAGGTAACTTAATTCTCTCAATTCAAAGTGGTGCAAGGAACTGGGCACACAGAGGGCTGTAGAAAAAGGGACTCCGATGTCAGATCTCTTGGTGGAACCCACCTGATGACTAGAACAGGGAAAGCAGGCTCCCTGAGGATGGCTGGCCTTCCAGGGCTAATGCATGATGTAGATTTAAAAGCATTTATAATTAATCACTTCTGAGTGGTGGCTGCACTCTTCCTCTGACTCCCACCCTTCTTTGGGAATGTCATTGTCA